TGATCTATCTATTGGGCTATTCCTATAAGTGTCACAAACAACCCTAGAGTTCGTACTAAAATAATACCTTAAGACACACATCAACCAAAACCCTAATGTCACCTAGATACTCTAATTTCACCACAAGTATCTGTAGGTTTGATTATACGATATACATCACACAATATCAGATTCATCTATTCAAACCAACACAAAGAACTTCAAAGAGTGCCCCAAAGTTTATACCGGAGAGTGAAGACGAAAACGTGTGCCAACCCCTATGCATAAGTTCACAAGGTCACATAACCCGCAAGTTCACCAAAACATACATCAAGTGGATCACGTGAATATCCCATTGTCACCACAGATAAGCACATGCAAGACATACATCAAGTGTTCTCAAATCCTTAAAGACTCAATCCAATAAGATAACTTCAAAGGGAAAACTCAATCCATTACAAGAAGGTAGAGGAGGAGAAACATCATATGATCCAACTATAATAGCAAAGCTTGTGGTACATCAAGATCGTGCCAAATCAAGAACATGATAGAGAGAGATCAAACACATAGCTACTGGTACATACCCTCAGCCCCAAGGGTGAACTACTCCCTCCTCGTCATGGAGAGCGCCAGGATGATGAAGATGGCCACCGATGATGGATTGCCCCTTGGGCAGGGTGCCGGAATAGGATCCTGATTGGTTTTTCGTGGCTACAAAGGCTTGCGGCAGCGGAACTCCCGATCTTGGTTCTGTTCTGGAAGTTTGGGGATATATAAGAGGTGTTGGCGTCGGTAACAAGTCAGGGGGGGTCCCCGAGTCGGCCACGAGGTAGGGGGCGCGCCAGGGGGGTAGGGCGCGCCCTCCACCCTCGTGGTGGACTCGGGACTCTTCTGGTCCATCTCCGATGCTCCATGGGCTTCTTCTGGTCCAAAAATAATCTCTGTAAATTTTCGGGTCAATTGGACTTCGTTTGATATTCCTTTTCTTTTATTTTCAGATCTATTAAACTAAAAGTATAAACATACCTTGCTGCAATTTATTTGTTCCGCGATCTATTTATCCTATCTACCATAATTATCTCACGTTATCTTGCCTACTTGAGGCGCCGTACCCGAAAGGGATTGAGAACCCCTTTAACACGTCGGGTTGCGAGTATTTGTTATTTGTGTGCAGGGGCTGTTTACGTGGTATTAGGAGGTTCTCCTACTGGTTCGATAACCTTGGTCTCATCACTGAGAGAAATACCTACCGTCTCTATACTGCATCATCCCTTCCTCTTTGGGGAAATACTGACGTAGTTATAGCAGACATCAATCACTTCCTTCTTATCTCCGGTAAAACTAGCATACGAGGAGTAATTTTCCCATTAGCCCAGTATGTAGCCCATTGTTTTTCTTTGAGATCTACGTAGCCCATTGTTGTCCCTCAAAAAAGAAAACGTAGCCCATTGTTGACCAGACATTGGATCGAAACCAAAGCCCATTGGCCCAGCTACCTACTGTCCATCTTCTCAAAAAAAGAAGAGCTACCTACACCCGGGTAAAACTACCATGAGTAGTTTGCCCACTTATGATGGTCCCATCATAGTATGTCACGTAGCTAGTGAGACAGGGCAAGTGCCCAGGTTAGCCGGGCGCTGGCTCTGCCCTTGACAGGTGCATATGATGCTGATGTATGACTAATTTGTTTCCGACACAATATTTTGAGACCTATTTTTGTCATTGATTACATATGTGGCTAACTGTGTTCGACCGCCTCGACAATGGTGTCCGGGCCTATATATGATGACTACTTCATCTTGAAGAAGGATGCGATTAGAAACATTGGATTCTCTGGTTACCAGAAGTGCATGACTATATTGAGGATGCTTACCTATGGCTTGAGCACAGAATTGTGAGATGAGTACATTCGGATGTCAGAGAGCACATCTCAAAGTCATGGTCAAGTTTGCTACTATAGTGGCTAAGGTGTTTGGATCAGAGTAATTGGGAGAACCAATTGTGAAGACACCGCAAGGCTAATGACACTATTGGAACTCGGAAGCAAGAGGGTGACCACTTATGCTCAGATCCCTGGATTACATGCACTGGCAATGAAAGAATTGCTCATATGCTCTAATAAGGGGAATATCAGGTTCATTGTAAGAAGTTCACCTTCACTTTTGAAGTAGTTGGAACATAAGATATCTGAATTTGGCACCCTTTCTTTGGAATTCCTGGATCTCGCAATAACACCAACGCACTACACCGACTTTCATTGTTTGCAAGGTTGTGTGCGGGAGAACTACGTCATCAATGGTCATGACTACAACATATGGGCTATTAACTTTGTACGGAGGCCCAAAGGTGACATCGAGCTATGCACACACGCGCCTTAGGTGGACGTAGGAGGAGGAGGACTTCAACACCCCCACGGTTTTGGATGTAATTTTTTTCTATAAGGATGCGTTTGTAAGGACACGTGATACTTAATATTGCCCTTAGGACATTATATAAAAAAAGGTTTATGCCTTAAACATCTATCAACTTTTCTTAGTTGTCGTTTTCTTTTACAATTTTTTAGACCTTTGAACAAGCAATAGCGTTTTTCAGCAACTAAGCACTGGGTAATATTTGGAGGCAGCAATAGCAATTGCCATATTTTCCTGCTGTACTAGATGGGCAATCTTTAGATTTTTTTTGAAACTATGATGATTTTTATAACAAATTCAAAAACTATACACCCTAATGCAAAAAAAATCAAAAGTATCACCCCATCGGCCTTCTGTTGGCCGAAGAGGGATGATAGGCCGAAGAGGGACATTTCGGCCAATCGTTGGCCAAAAAGGACTTTTCGGTCAACCATTGGCCAAAAATGACTTTTCGGCCAATAGTTGGCCAAAGAGTCCCTCTTCGGCCAACACCTGCTCTACTGTTTTAGAAAATTCATATCAATTAGGATTTTTAGTATTTTAATTTGATTCTTTTTGCATTAGATTAGAAATTTTATGAAGTTTCTGTAGATATCAAGTTTGACTAGATTTGAAAGTTTGAATTTGAATTTTCATGAATTTGCTCAAATCACTAGATTGCCTATAATTTGAGCTAGGAGTATTTTTTTAGACGATTCTTTTGCTACTATTTCTTTGTGACTTTGTTTATCAGTAGTAATTAATTGGTGAATTTTAGGATTATTTAAAATTAGGTTTTTACAAAAACAGTTCTGTTGTAGTGTTTTATAGGTTTTGTGCTATTTCTTTTAATTTTAATTGCTTTAAATTGTTTTCTTTATTTTTGACATATTATTTTAGTTCCTGTTAAGTTATCAGTAGATATTTTTTTGTAGTATTTTTTTGTATTTTATTTCTTTTATCCTCCATTTTCTTTCCCGTCATTCTTTCCCTCCATTTTCTCCCGCTATTTTCTTTGCCGCCATTTTCTCCCGCCATTATTTGCCGCCATTTTCTCCCACCATTCTTTGCCACCATTTTCTCCTGCCATTTTCTTTCCCGTCATTTTATTTACCGACATTGTCTCCCTCCATATTCTCCCGCCATTTTATTTCCTGCCATTCTCTCCCGCCATTTTCTTTCCCGCCATTCTCTCCCGCCATTTTTCTTTCCCGCCATTCTCTCCCGCCATCTTCTTTCCCTCCATCTTCTTTCTCATCATCTTCACTTCTCAACTTATAAAACGAGCCTCATGGTGTCCACGACCGTAGATAACATCGTCTGACATGGTCTGTGTCTCCTGTGTCGGTGCTGCTGGTGGAGTGTGAAACACTGTCTGAGAGAAGTCATAAGTGTTTGCAGCTTCGTCATCATCATCGAAGAGTGTTTCACACTTATGACTTCCCTCACACAGTGTTTCACACTCCACATGAAGGCATCATCGTCATCCTCCATCGATGCAGCACTCCTTAGTGTGGCGGGAGAGAATGGTGGGAGAAAATGGCGGGAAAGAAAATGGAGGGAAAAAGATTGCGGAAAAATATTTTTTTTTTCATGTATAAAACATGAATGGTTGTACAGGATTTATAAGGCACTTTTAAATAGAAACTCCTATGAAGCTCAAAACAAGTTTTCTAGTAGGATAAAATAAATAAAATACAAAAAAATACTACAAATAAAATAGTTACTGATAACTAAACAGAAAAAAAGAAAATGTCAAAAAAAACTAAAGAAAACAATTTAAAGCAATTAAAATTAAAAGAAATAGCATAAAACCTATAAAACACTAAAATAGAACTGTTTTCATAAAAACCTAATTTTAAATAATTATAAAATTCGCCAATTAATTACTACTGATAAACAAAGTCACAAAGAACCAGTAGCAAAAAGAATCATCTGAAAAAAATACTCCTAGCTCAAATTATAGGCAATCTAGTGATTTGAACAAATTCATAAAAATTCAAATTCAAACTTTCAAATCTATTCAAACTTGATATCTACAGAAACTTCATAAAATTTCTAATGTAATGCAAAAAGAATCAAATTAAAATACTAAAAATCCTAATTGATATGAATTTTCTAAAACAGTAGAGCAGGTGTTGGCTGAAGAGAGACTCTTTTGTCAACTGTTGGCCGAAAAGTCCTTTTTGGCCAACGGTTGACCGAAAAGTCCTTTTTGGCCTACGGTTGACTGAAAAGTCTCTCTTCGACCTACAGTAGGCCGAAAAATCTCTCTTCAACTAACAGGAGGCCGACGGGTGATACTTTTGATTTTTCTGCATTAGGGTGTATAGTTTCCCAATTTGCTTTAAAAATCATCATAGTTTTTTTAAAAATCCAATCTTTAATTATGCAGATTTACTAGTTCTCATTTAGACGAGAACTAACAATGTCTCATCTAACTGCTACTCCAGTACATCATTTGATTAATCAAAAGTAATAATCCGCACAAATAATCTTCGCGTAGATCAAATGGAATAATCAATAATGAGCACATAGCTATGTATGTAGTGCAGATCTTCATATAAGTACGAGTTCTACGCCTGTCGAACGGCGGAAACTTGATTAATTACTGCGCGTAGTCACAGAAACCTACTTGTTGTCGCACTTGTTAGAGCAGATGCCGCAGTTCTTCTTGTCGGAGAGCAGATCCACGCAGCGGCCGCCACAGCACGTCCGGCCGTGCTTGCACGCCTTGTTGCAGCCGCCGCAGTGCTGGGCGCTGGCGACGGTGTCCACGCACTGACCGCTGCAGCACGCCTTCCCCGTCGCGAGGCATGCTTCGGCTGACTTCTTCGAGCACTCGTACGCCGGTAGAGGCGGGAGGCCAGCGCCGCCAACTAGCAGGAAACGACTCCTCCTTGCCGCCGGCTGCAGGCTCGCGCTGGCGCCGGCCGTGGCTGCGGTAATGCCATCGGCGGTGACCAGCACCGTGATGAGGAGAAGCAGGGCAGCGTTCACCATTGCGGAAACAAGGAGAAGTGGTGCAATTGTTTGGCTTATCGGCTACTTGCTCTTAGTAGTTAGCAAGGACCTCAAGGGTGTGCTTGTATGTGGGTGGGAAGGGGGATACCTCTGAAGTTTGAAGCATCACACTTTATATAGAAGAGAGCATGGGAAGGAAAGTCAGCGGGGTTAGCTCTGCTCTCCCGAGGTTGACTTTCGATGCAAATTCAACTTCAAGATGACACCAAGAAGCCTCTTTTGTCCAGAACAAAAATAATTGAAAATAAACGAATGGTTTCAGGTACAACGTTCACATGGAGTGTAAAGGTTTGAGAAAGATTAATTAGAGGTTGATCAATCCATAGTCCAGGTACATGCTAAGCAACCAGTTGGCAACAATAGTGTTGAAAAGACAGAATGGCTGTGAAATTGTCATACCACGACGTGTAACTACAGTAAACGTCAGTAAAGCTCCACGTAGCACTAATTTCGAATAACTAATGCACGTGATGCAATGAACCAAGCGCCGGCAGTCCTCGCATGCTAGACGTGATGAGTGAACATAAGCAACGAATTTTTTTTGCGGGTGGGGTAAGCAACGATTAAGTATGATAAAATCAACACTTAAACTAATGCACATGGTGGTGGCTTTAGATGCTACACCCTCAAATTATGCAGAAGAGCAAAGACAATCAAGTCATCCTTTGATAGATTACAAAAACGCCCGTCAAAAACAAATTACATAAGAGATACATTGTACTTAGCTGACATAAAGAAATATTGTAAGCATAAATATACTCCAAGGTCATCCTTCACAAGATTGTGGTGGCTACGGAGTGTCTTTATGGGACAACATCCATGCAAATAATATATGGGACTATGGAGTGATAATCAAGGAGTTAAATGAATGTGAACTTGCTTTGCAGGAAGTCATTTTTATTCATGACAAGTGACAATTTAATTTTGAAGCCCTCTATTCAAAATTTTCTTGTGTATAAAGTCTCTTTGGGACACAACAATTACACTATTACTCTCTCTGCAAACTAATATAAGATCTTTTAGATCACTAAAGTACTAATCTAAAAGATTGAATCTTTTAAGTTTTTTCTTACTCCTTTTGTTGATCTAAAGTAGTGATCTAAAAGATCTTATATTAGTTTACAGAGGGAGTAGTATATAACGGGTGTGATACACAATCATAATCACAAACAAGTACTTTGGAATACGGATCTAATGGCATCAACTTTATGTGACATAAAATACATACTAATAGACAATAGGGTATCTATTTATCACAAACTCGTCCTAATGAAACCCAATATGCATCGTATTTTGAAGTCGTGGCAATATCGGCCTTGTTCTTGAAATACCATTTTAGGATTATAAGGGCTAATTCATTTGGATGTTCTAAAACCGTTTGGAGAAAAGAAAACTCCTTTACTTTGGCATTTGCACTAACTATGCGCAAAACTGCGCCATTATACAAAGGTTGTCAAACTAGGAAACAGACTAACAAGTCAGCTCACAAGATGAAAACACACCATTGCATACAAATTGCCATTTTCGACACTAATACTAACCTAAGATGGGACACCATTGACGTCATGACAATTGGTGTCTCCATTGTCATTCACAATTGTAACATCATAGTGATGTAGGGGCTATTTCTTCGCTTCCACAAAACCAGCCCGAGTCAGGCACGAATCTCAGGCATCCATTTTGTAGGCCCGAGGCTGCGATCTATGCCTAACTGAGAAGCTGCCTGATAGGCCTCCATCCAAACAGCACCATAGTCTTCAATGGCAACATCGCAAGAATAAGTTGGATCAAGGTTTTATATGGGGCTTTAATTTCTAGTTAGCCTAACTATTATCAACATACTTGTTGATAACTATGTGGCTGCCTTATGGCTACCGACCAGCTGCAAGAATTCCAAACTATTTCAAAATATAAATTCCAATTGTGATCAGAAACCTCATAGAATAATAGTACGGTATATTCCAATATCCATGTTAACTACGAAGCCCAGCCTCGAGCCATTTGGTAACCAAAGTCTAGGTCTGGCTTTATCATGGCAACTTAAACGCTTGCCTTACGTTATTTTATTTTGATGGAAAAAGTGGTTTTTTCCTATTCTTCTATCTTTAATTTTTAGGAGTATATGGAATTTGCAAGTGATAATATCCGTGGATCTCAGAAACACCCTCGATGCCAAGGTATGGGTGTTTCAGATATTGAGAGACGTCGTCGAACATTGCTTAGACACCGCCGACGTGGCAGGAGGAGGACAATGTTGATATACTTAGGACCCATGTTTATTTTCTACTTTCAAAGGTGGTCTTGTAAAGTTAGCGAATTAGTTTTGATATATATTGTTTTGGACTTGTCGCAATTTTTTTAATCATTTATGCATGTACATTCTCTTTCGAAGTAAATGTAATTTCATCGCAAGGATCGATTAAACTGCGGGTTCCGCACTCACAAACTTGTAGGATGGATAACAAATCACTAATTAATCACAATCGCAAATTATTTAATGGTTCATGAGTAGATAAACTGACACGACAATATTGTTTGTTTATATCAACAACATTACTAGCGGACACCACTGCTACAACAGCAACAATATCAATTATACCACTATTTCATGCCGTACTACAAGGGCTGTCAATAATAAATATAGTAAATCAATAGGTTGGTAACCTGTAGTTCAATGCCTCTCTTTGCCTCTGCATGCGCATGCACATATACAAATATATGTAGTGCAGATCTTCAGCAGTCTGTACGACTTTCGACGGCAAACAGTAGTGTTGAACTCAGGTTACTGCGCGTAGTCGCAGAAGCCGTAGCCGCACTTGTTGCTGCATTGGTTAGAGCAAGTGCCACAGTTCTTCTTGTCGGAGAGCAGATCCACGCAGCGCCCGCCACAACACGTCCGGCCGTGCTTGCACGCCTTGTTGCAACCGCCGCAGTGCTGGGCGCTGGCGACGGTGTCCACGCACTGGCCGCTGCAGCACGTCGTCCCCGTCGCGAGGCATGCTTCGATCAACTTCTTCGAGCAGTCGTAGGTTGGCAAAGGCAGGTGTGCAGCGCCACCAACAAGCAGAAAACGACTTCTCCTTGCCGCCGGCTGCTGGGTTCCGCTGCGGCCGGCCGTGGCTGAAGTGATGCCGCTGGTAGTGGCCAGCACAGTGATGAGGAGAAGAAGGGCGGCGTTCGCCATTGTGGGGACAAGAAGAAAGTAATGCAGATGCAGGTGTTTGGCTTATTGGCTCTCGTTGCTCTTGATTAGTAGGGAGCTGAAGAATGTGCTTTTTTGTGTGGAGGGAATGTCTCTCAAGGGTCGCGCTTTATATAGAAGAAATCATGGGCAGGAAGTCAGGGTGTTAGCTCTGCTCTATTGAGGTTGACTTTTGATGCAAAATTTGACTTCAACATGACGTCAAGAAGCCACTTTTGTCCGGAACAGAAAACTGATTGAAAATAAACGAAGGGTTTCAGGTACAACGTTCATGGAGCGTAGAGGTTTGAGAAAGATTAATTAAAGGTTTGATTAGTCCATAATCCAGGTACATGCTAAGCAACTATGGTTCGCAACCATAGCGTTGAGAACAGAGAATGGCTGCGAGATTGTCGTAGCATGAAGTGTGGGACTAGAAAAAGTCATAGGACTAGAAAAACAAACACCACCTAAACTAAACGTCTGTAAAGCTCCACGCAGCACTAATTTTGAATAACTGATGCACGGGATGCAATGAACCAAGCGCCGGTGGTCCTCGCATGCTAGACGTGCTGCATGATCATAAGCCGGAGACTTATAATAAGGTAAGCAACGATTAAGTATGATAAAATCAACACTTAAACTAATGCACATGGTGGTGGCTGGTTGCTTTGCATGCTACACCCATAAACCATACATTGTACTTAGCTGAGATAAAGAAAAACCGTTAACATATATATACGCCAAGATCATCTTTCCGAAGATTGTGGTGGTTACTGATTGTCTTTCGGTGGTGAACGACATCCACGCGAATAATATATGGGACTATGGAGTGATCATAGAGGAGTTATTTAAACGTCGCCTAGCTTTGCAGGAAGTCATTTTATTCATGATAAGTGACAATTTAATTTTGAAGCCCATAAGCGAGGTAGGGGGCAAATTTAAGCATCAGGTTTGGCCGTCATGTCTAGTTATCACCTGCCAATTTCTCAAAAAAGAAAAGTTATCACCTGACATATAATCCGTCCATTCCAAATTATGTTGTGTATAAGTTCTCTTTTGGACAAATCTTTGATCAACAATTACACTATTAGTATATAATATTTGTCATACACAATCATAATGACAAACAAGTATCTTCGCAAAAAAAAAGACAAACAAGTACTTTGGAATAGGAATCTAATGGCATCAACTTTACATCACATATACATACTAATAGGTAATAGGGTATTTATTGGTCAAAAACCCATCCAAGCGAAACATAATATACAACGTATTTTGAAGCGGTAGCAATCTCAGCCTTTTTCCTGAAATACTATTTTGGAATTATCAAGGCGTTGACATTTTCCCTCAAAAAAGGTTAACTCATTTGGATGTTCTAAAACCGTTTGGAGAAAAGAAAAACTCCTCTACTTTCGTATTTAACACCAACTATGCGCAAAGTTGTGCCATTATGCAAAGGCCGTCAAGCTAGAAAATAGACAAACAAGTCAGCTCACAAGATGAAAACACACCGTTGCATACAAATTATCATTTTGTGACATCGATACTAACCTAAGATGTGACACCGTTGACGTCATGACAATTGGTTTCTCCATTGTCATTCACAATTGTAGCGTCATAGTGATGTAGTCTTCAAAGGCCACATCGCAAGAATAAATTGGTAATCTAAAATAGTGTCTTCAAGAAATAGAAAACTTGTATGTTCATGGTTTTGGCTTCAGGCATTCTCACTTTCTCGAATTCAGAACACTACATAAGATGAAACACCACACATATATGGACAATGCCGATTAACCAATGAAAGTCGAATCAAGGTTGCTCACTGAGGGAGTCCTGGATTAAGGGGTCCTCGGACAGCTAGACTATATACGTGCACTACTAGGGAAAACCTTATACACATACGCTTAGCAGCAGCGCTGGACAAAATAGGGCGCTACTGCTAGTTAGTAGTAGCGGTTTTAACTAGACCGCGCTACTGCTACTAATTTAGCAGTAGCGCGTTCGGCTAAAGCGCGCTACTGCTAAACTTGTACTGGGCGCAGATGGCTAGCCCTACTTAGCAGTAGCGCGTATGCCTGATCAGCGCTACTGCTACGTCCCTTAGCAGTAGCGCGTATCTCTGAAACACGCTACTACTTACTTACCTTATCTCGAGCAGTTTAATGCATCCTCTCTCATTCACTCTCCCTCTCACTCGCTCTCTCGCCCGCGCCGAACCCGTCGTCCGCCGTCGCCGCGCTGCTCTTTGCCAAGGTACTCCCTCCTCCCCCCTCCTCCGGCCGCCCTCCTCCTATCGCCCCTCCCTCCTCCTCTGTTGGGGAACGTAGCAATTTCAAAAAAAATTCCTACGCACACGCAAGATCATGGTGATGCATAGCAACGAGAGGGGAGAGTGTTGTCCACGTACCCTCGTAGAACGTAAGCGGAAGCGTTATGACAACGCGGTTGAGGTAGTCATACGTCTTCACGATCCGACCAATCCGAGTACCGAACGTACGGCACCTCTGAGTTCAGCACACGTTCAGCTCGATGACGATCCCCGGACTCCGATCCAGCAGGGTGTCGGGGATGAGTTCCGTCAGCACGACGGCATGGTGACGATGATGATGTTCTACCGACGCAGGGCTTCGCCTAAGCACCGCAACGATAGGACCGAGGTGGAATATGGTGGAGGGGGCACCGCACACGGCTAAGGAACGATCACGAAGATCAACTTGTGTTGTTGTGCCTAGAGGTGCCCCCTGCCCCCGTATATAAAGGAGCAAGGGGGGAGGGGGCGGCCGGCCTAGGAGGGAGCGCGCCAAGGGGAGTCCTACTCCCACCGGGAGTAGGACTCCCTCCTTCCTTGTTGGAGTAGGAGAAGGGGAAAGAGGGGGAGAGGAAGAAGGAAAAGGGGGCTGCGCCCCTTGTCCAATTCGGACCAGAGGGGGGGGGGGGGCGCAGGCCTCCTTCCTTTTGGCCTCTCTCCTCTATTCCCGTATGGCCCAATAAGGCCCATATACTCCCCGGCGAATTCCCGTAACTCGCCGGTACTCCGAAAAATACCCGAATCACTCGGAACCTTTCCGAACTCCGAATATAGTCGTCCAATATATCGATCTTTACGTCTCAACCATTTCGAGACTCCTCGTCATGTTCCCGATCTCATCCGGGACTCCGAACTCCTTCGGTACATCAAAAATCATAAACTCATAATATAACTATCATCGAAACCTTAAGCGTGCGGACCCTACGGGTTCGAGAACAATGTAGACATGACCGAGACACGTTTCCGGTCAATAACCAATAGCGGAACCTGGATGCTCATATTGGCTCTCACATATTCTACGAAGATCTTTATCGGTCAAACCGCATAACAACATACGTTGTTCCCTTTGTCATCGGTATGTTACTTGCCCGAGATTCGATCGTCGGTATCCAATACCTAGTTCAATCTCGTTACCGTCAAGTCTCTTTACTCGTGACGTAATGCATCATTCCGTAACTAACTCATTAGCTACATTGCTTGCAAGGCTTATAGTGATGTGCATTACCGAGAGGGCCCAGAGATACCTCTCCGACAATCGGAGTGACAGATCCTAATCTCAAAATACGCCAACCCAACATGTACCTTTGGAGACACCTGTAGAGCTCCTTTATAATCACCCAGTTACGTTGTGACGTTTGATAGCACACAAAGTGTTCCTCGGGTAAACGCGAGTTGCATAATCTCATAGTCATAGGAACATGTATAAGTCATGAAGAAAGCAATAGCAACATACTAAACGATCAAGTGCTAAGCTAACGGAATGGGTCAAGTCAATCACATCATTCTCCTAATGATGTGATCCCGTTAGTCAAATGACAACTCATGTCTATGGTTAGGAAACTTAACCATCTTTGATTAACGAGCTAGTCAAGTAGAGGCATACTAGTGACACTATGTTTGTCTATGTATTCACACATGTATTATGTTTCCGGTTATATTAATTCTAGCATGAATAATAAACATTTATCATGATATAAGGAAATAAATAATAAATTTATTATTGCCTCTAGGGCATATTTCCTTCAGTTTCCCACTTGCACTAGAGTCAATAATCCAGTTCACATCGCCATGTGATTTAACACCAATATTCACATCTGTATGTGATTAATACCCATAGTTCACATTGTTATGTGATCAATACCCAAAGGGTTTACTAGAGTCAATAATCTAGTTCACATCGCTATGTGATTAACACCCAAAGAGTACTAAGGTATGATCATGTTTTGCTCGTGAGAGAAGTTTAATCAACGGGTCTGTCACATTCAGAGCCGTATGTATTTTGCAAATATTCTATGTCCACAATGCTCTGCACGGAGCTACTCTAGCTAATTGCTCCCACTTTCAATATGTATCCAGATTGAGACTTAGAGTCATCTGGATTGGTGTAAAAGCTTGCATCGTTGTAACTTTTTACGACGGGGCTCTTTTATCACCTCCATAATCGAGAAACATCTCCTTAGTCCTCACTAAGGATATTCTTGACCGCTGTCCAGTGATCTACTCTTAGATCAAAATTGTATTCCTTTGTCAAATCAGAGCAAGATATACAATAGGTCTGAGGCAATGACTGAGGCATAGGGAATGACTTTTCATTCTCTTTCTGTTTTCTGCCATGGTCGGGTCTTGAGTCTTACTCAACTTCATACATTTGCATCACAGGCAAGAACTCCTTCTTTGACTGTTCCATTTTGAACTATTTCAAAAATTTCTCAAGGTATGTACTCATTGAAAATCTTATCAAGCGTCGTGATCTATCTCAATAGATCTTGATGCTCAATATGTAAGTAGCTTTGCCGAGGTCTTTCTTTGAAAAAACTTCTTTCAAACACTCCTTTATGCTTTGCAGAATAATTCTACATTTTTCTGAACAATATGTCATTCACATATACTTATCAGAAATGTTGTAGTGCTCCCACTCACTTTCTTGTAAATACAGCCTTCACCGCAAGTCTGTATAAAACTATATGCTTTG